TATAATTTAATTTAACGTAACGAAGTAACTTAATTTAGATTTAATAATATTTTTTATAAAGATAATAATTAAGTATTCTGTTAGAATTCAATAATTATCCTAATTATATTTTAGAKTTTTTATATTTTAAAATGAGATGTTTATTCTCTATTTGATTATGTTTATCCGTAGTTAGTTACACGAATTCAAACATAGAGCTTTAATAAGTTATACTTATGCATAATTTACTTGTAATCTTGAATTTTAAGTAATATGAATTAATAAACAGTACTTTATACATAATTTTTTTTGAATGATGTTATAACGTACGTATTGTTTCCTTGAGTGTATTTTATATTCCTTTAAACTACAACAATAACACAAATTTCCCTTTTAGAGTTGGTTTATGCTTCGTTTTCTTGCTTCTAAACATGGGTTTGAATCCCTTATTTTTCTAAGTTTTTTAACTACTAATTTTGGATTTATAGTTTTGAATTTTTTGGGAAGAATAAAAGGACTCAACCTAAGCAACCAAATACCGAACTCATCAATCATGAAAAATAATTTATAGTTTTGTGTTTTTTATAGTTAAATTATGTCATCATTTTAAAAAAAAATTCTAAGTCCGTCTTTGAGGATGAAACGGTAGGTCATACCACCGTATTCAATTTATGTAGGTCTGCCCTAAGCTATGTCATCGAATTGATAATATAATATTTAGGGGCCGTTTACCAAATACTTACTTGGGTAAGCGCTTACCAAGTTATATTAGATGAATATGATAAGAACCAAAAATCTTACCCGGTAAGAACGAGACAAGGAACAAGAGTCTTACCCGGTAAGTAAGGGCAATGACTCTTACCACAGTCAGCTCTTACCGGGTAAATTATTGCATCAAATATCATTTTTATTAACTAAAATCTTACTCGGTAAGTAAATAATAGTATTGACTAAAATACGTGATATTAACATTTTTTCCTTTTAACTCGTAATCTATAGATTATTTGTTTTAAAAACACCTTAAAAACCAAGAATCTAGTTTCTAAAATTAAAGCTTGCATGTAAAGCCCCTTTGGTGACACACCAAGATTAAGAATCTCTAACCTTTAAGCAACCTTTCATCCAAGCAATTCTAAAATGCCAAAACTTTAAACTCATATGCTTCTTTACGTCCTCATCTTATATTATTCATGACCCCCTTTGAGCTCTCGAAAAACACACACACAAACACGTAAAAACACACACTAACCCCCACCCTTCAATGGCAGTGACTCACGACGATCTTGCACCAAGTCGTAAAGGGGCTGATATCGGGAGCAAAACGGGTGTCGTGTTGATAGTCTTCTCGATACTTCTTGGATTGATTTGCTTCGTTCTTTGCCTCATTGCCGAGGCGACACACTCTCAGGTTTTTCATCTCTTTCTTGCATTTAATCATCCAAGGATGAAACATTCGTTTGTTATACGTCTCCTTGATATATTGTTGTAGATCATACGGGAGGCGAGTGATGGTGGTGGAGGGGAGACAGAGAGAAACCAATGTAGATATAGCGGCAACGGGAAAACGCCGCTAATTTATGCAGCGGGTGCGTTTTTGGCCCTTGCGATTGCCATGGTGGTGCAACACACGCACCTATTATTAGCCGTGAGTAAATCAGAACCCGATCCTAGTCTACTTATGACCTGGGATCCTTTCTCTAACGATCATCTCAACACTCTCACTTGGCAAGCTGCATTTTTCTTCATTACAACTTGGTACATATATATATATATATGCAACCCTCACCAAAAACACATTTGTTCTCATTACAACAAAATCGGGTTTATAAGACACTCCCAAGTTGTAAGCGTCCTAATAGACCTCTTTATAGGACTTAGTTTATAGGACCAAAAAAATAAAGTGCCCTATCTAATGGTGTTGTATTAAGTTTATATGACATTTTTTGATGTCGTAATAAGTTTTTCAGGGCACTTTTAATATAAAGCGTCACATTATCAACTTTATAAGACACTATTTGAAAAAATGTTCTATAAAAACAAGTGTCCTAAAAAAATTGAGTTTACAGGACAATTTCTCAAAAGTGTCCTATAAAGTTGCTAATGCGACACTTTGTATTAAAAATATCCTTAAAAACTTGTTAAGACGCTCAAAAGTGTCGTATAAACTTATTACAACACCTTTAGATAGGACGCTTTATATTTTGGTCCTATAAATTAAGTCCTATAAAGCGGTCTATTGAGACGCTTAGAGATTAGGGGTGTCCTATAAACCCAATTTTGTTGTAGTGTCTGTTGTATATGAGTTTGCAATATAAGCTAAGTTCCCTATGTTTCTTCTTGTTTCTTTATCTTAGGATATGTTTTTCTGTTGCTGAAGTTCTGTTGTTGATTGGACTAAGTGTCGAATCCGGGCATTTGAAAGGGTGGTCGATACCGAGGCCTACCTGTTTCATTGCTCGCGAGGGGTTGTTCTCTTCTGCCGGGGTGTTAGGGATTACAACGGTTTTTCTTTCTTCTGGTTTGTCCATCACGGCTTTACGAGCCCAATGGCTACTACAAGATCAAGAGAACGTCCGTCGAGAGGTTATGGAAGCGTCGATCCTTTATTCATCGCCACCACGACCGTCAGGAGATCGAATCATGGCCGTTGGTGGTGAAACTCCGATTGTTAGACATGACGTATATTACGAGCCCGGGCTGACTGAATATTTAAGGGCTTTTGATAAAATTATTTAACTTACATTTTGCGACTCAATAACTAACTTGTTCATACATGGATGGAGTGCAGGAAAACGAAAGAGGTGTTATATATTAGTACATACTTTTTGTGACCATTATGCCCTTAGGGTATGACATTAATTGTATATTTTGATGGACCCAAATTTCATAAGTTTAAATGAAATTGTAACATTTAGTTTGTTCAATTACATGTTTTGAGCATCATTTCTTAGGATGATGTGGTGAATGAATTATAATAGACCATAACGATTAATTCATAAGTTGTGTATTATTATTTTTACTATATCATAAAATATTATTTTTAATGTTCTTAAATCATAAAATCGTTTTACAAGTATTATATATAGACTTGGGATCATGTGAGACCAGCTTATTTTCGTGAGACCCGCGAGACCAACATTTTACACTTGAAACTTCACAGCAAAATGCTGTGAAGGTGATTTTTTAAAACCTTCACAGTGTTTTTGCTGTGAAGGTTTGACTTTTTTTAAACCTTCACAGTGTTTTTGCTGTGAAGGTTACGTGTAAAAATGTGGTCTCACGGGTCTCACGAAAACAGGCTGGTCTCACGTGAACCCAACCCATTATATATATATATATATATATA